GATACAAAAAAATTGGTAAATGGGTTAAATAAATACAATGACCAAGAGCTAAATTAAATACACAAATACAAAGATAACTAATGCAATTGGACACAATAAAATAATTCCTAACAACCAAGCAATGGAATTGGCTAAGACTGGGCTTCAGAGAAGGTCTGAAAACGATAGAGATAAATATGTGCATATGTTGACTTTATTTGAGGTGAAGAGAAAAGTTAATACCATCCACTCGTTCATGCATTTGCCGCATCTCTCGATCCATTGTACATGACTAGTCTCATCTCTAAGCAAACGATGTAGATGAAATAAGGTATGTTCTTCTTATTTGAGAACGCTCTCAAGACGGATGAGGATGATTTATTCACAGAGCAATATCGTGACTATATTTTGAAGCATTCCTCATTATTCATTGCAACAACACATAGCTTGATGAATACATGTCATCCTTGAAAGTTGTTGTTTTTATTTTGTAAATTGGTTGTATATTTAAAAACAATCTTTAAAGAATATGGTGGGAGTTATGTGATGATTTTGTGCCAACACTAAAGAAATGTGCAATTCATATACTGAGTCAACCATGCAATTCATCATCATGTGAATGTAATTGGTGCTCGTTTGAAGCTACCCCGACAAAGGAATGTAACCGGCTCACTCCAGACATGTTAGACATTCTTGTAAAGAATGAACACAATGATGATGCAAAAAAATGAGGAAAAATGTTTAGAGATGCTGACCCGATTGATTTGAGCAAGCTCATAGAGTGGCTTGATTATGGAGAAGAAGTTGAAAGATGCTCCTAATTTGTGGATGAGAATGGATCGATTGAGACTTCAAGGAGTTCATTTGATAATACTACTGCTGACAATGCTAGTCTCATTAATTCAGCCTCATCATTTTCTGAAGTTTGTGTGACTTATGTTGATGATACATATGAGTTTGAAAAATTTTACTTTTGATATTTGAGACTTTATAGAAACTTTGAAGTTTGTTTACGTTAAATTTTAGACTTTGGTATTTTGAGTTTTTCTTTCGCGATTATTTCGTTTATTGTTGTGCAAGCTTATTCCTTCTTTAATTTGGATTTAGTTTTACATGGCCCCATTTTCATAGAAAATTTAAAGTTAGTATCATTTTATTTAAAATTTGCATTTGTAATTTAGTTGTTACAATGACAAATCTAAGAATATATACTAGTATTTCTTTTGTAGGGAAAATTGTATCTTAAATAATTGAAAAATGTTGATATGTTAACTAATCATTTCTTTCTATCAATAATTTAGTGAAATTAGCGTGCATATAGAAATATATTATATGTCGTTTTTTATAATATTAAATGTTTAAAACGTGTACTTATATGTATTCTTGTTGTGAACGTATATAACAGATATTTAGGCGTATTATATAAAAGTGTGTCATATTATACCCGAAGACACGAATCATTGTATCATTCACGTGCCGTCAAGGTTGTTAAAAACGTAAAATCGTACAAAATCATAAAAATTTGTACTAAAACCGTAGCAAAATCGTAATAAGTTGTTTTTAGTGAAAATGGTTCAAATTTATTAAAATTAACAACTACAAATTGATACATAATTCCAATAATAATAATATGAATAGTGTATTTTAAAAAGTAATGGATTCTTGTGTTACTTAATTATTTTTAAGTTTTACACATGTTTAATGTTATTATTCACTACATTTACATTATAAAAACAGTTTATAAATCTTGTTTTTGACCTTGTAGGTATAGTTTTGTGTAATGAAATGATATAATACCATTAACTTGCAACTTAATTTTAATATTTATTTATTTTATAATTATTAATATATGTTTGATAAAATCTTACGATTTGCAATTCAATTTTACGATTCGATTTTCAAAAACATCTACCGATTCGATTCAAAAATACGATTTTGACAACCTTGTGTGTCGTATATTACTAACAAAGGTATCGGCGTCACAAAAGAATTGGAAAAATACTTGGGTAATCATCTTCTCCAAAAACGCAAATCAAAATCTCACCGCAGCTACATCTTAGACAACATGAATAAGAATTGGGAAGTTGGAAATAAAAGTATCTTACTATTGCAGGACGTCGAACTCCAGTTCAATTTGTCGCCTCAACAACCCCCCAACACGCTATGCAAAGCATTCTCTTACCGGTCAACACATGTTCCGAGATTGACCGAATCAGTTCCTATAGGGGTGACGACATCACAAAGAAAGTCCACCTAGTTGATTGGGATGAAGATCACAAACCCAAAAGTGATGGGGGATTGGGACTGCGTAACGCTAAGGACATGAATTTATCACGTATAGCGAATTTTGGCTGGGAACTCCTAAAAAGAAACCAAAACTTTGGATCACGGCCCTAACTCATAAACACCTCAACAAAGGTACTTTTTGACGAGTTAAACTCCAGCAAACAACATCTTACATTTGGCGTAGCATCATCACGTCCAAGGAAATACTCCACAATGGTATCCGCTGGAAGATTGGCAATGGTAAGGTGACATGCTTCTGGCCTGATTGTTGGGTGGGAGAGGAACCTGTTTACATTTCCACAATACTAAAGTCGTTGATTTTATTAGTGACCAATGTACTCGGAACTCGAGCTAGTGCTTGATGGGGATGTCATTGAGATGGTTCGTGCTATTCCAATTCCTATCAATAGGAATCGTGAAAACTCCATCATTCGGAAATGGCCTGGAAAGTTTTATGTTCCTCTACTTACTCATTGCCAGTCCACCCTAAACCCGATGAAAGTATGAATTGGTTTTGGAAAGTCAGGGCCTCAGAAAAAGAGTACAACTCTTTTTTGGCTGGTTTGAAAAAAAACCCTCACAAATATGGAGAGAGCACACCAAAATATAAGACAAGACACTTTATGCCCGATTCACAATGAAGAGGAGGAAACCATTCACCACTTGTTATTGGATTGCGAGCTACCAAGAGGCTATTGGTCTAGTATGTCACTGCATTGAAGAGTTCTTTCATGCTATGATGACTTAAGTAGTTGAGTTCTTTCATTCGACCTCGAGTCTCTGCCATACACGACACCTTGAAATACCTCGTCCTTGTCATGTTCTCACTAACCTAGACCACTTGCACATTGAGTCTAGTTTTAAAGTTTCAATCATCCCCAATATCACGTGGTCATGCAACGAAATGAATTTCATCACTGTTGGTGTAGGACTTTGACAGCCTGTTCCACATTCAAGGGACTTGACCATGACAATTAATGACACATTTATTAGGCTTAATGCTACAAGCTATTATAATGGTTTTTGTATGTTTATTGCGGCTATTAATGTAATTAAAACGGGAGTTACACAAATGGTTTGACCAACGTTAATGATAACATAATGACAACTTTGAATGTCGTCATAACGGTCAAAACCGTCAACAACGAACAAAAGGGCGTTAATTCCACTCCTATAAGTAGTATCGAGCTCGGTTGTAAGAGGACACATCTCATTCGAATTACGCATAAAATCACACTCTAATTTTCTCCTTGGCATAATTCTTGCTGTTCTTGTCATCTTCTTTACCGTTCTTGTACAAGACCCAATCGATATACAATTTCCATTCTACTACGTAATTAGTTTTAGCATGTCAAAATTTTGCTAAAACAATTTGGCGCCGTCTGTGGGAAACGTGCAAGAAAAACTATCATCCATGAAAGGTCATAATTCAATGTCAACGGTGGGACTCAAGATGCAATCGAAAGTTGGGAAAGAAGAAACGAAACCTATCATATTGTCACTATATAATCAATTGATTTCTTTCAAAAAATAAAACCAATTGATTATTAGTAAAAATTTAAAAACATCGCACTTTGAAACTCCATTTTGGATACAAATTTTATACCACGTATTATTTTTAGTTTAAAGTTTTTGAATACTACGTACAACAATAAATAAAATTTAGCCGCACATTAAAAAAAGTAAATGAAGCAACTATTGAAAATGGGTTAAAAAAAGAACCATTGAAAAAGAAGGATGTATTCATGTATATTGTTTTTTTTTTAAATTTGAAAAAATTGATAGTAATAATCCCAACTATTGGCGGTCCGCTCATAATAATCCCAACTATTGATTATTACAGAATAATCCCAACTTTAGGGACCTTCCGCCAATAATGGTCCCTATGAATAAATTCTTGTACTCCGTAGTTTCTAAAGTGGATGAGATGAGATATAACAAGTAATCCCTATAAATAATCTCAACTTTTAATTTTTACGCTTAATTTCTATTTAAAATTTACTTTTTATAGAGGTAATATATGGTCATGGACCATTATTGGCAGATAGTCTATATAGTTGGGATTATACAAAAATAATCAATAGTTGAGATTATTTTCAGCGGACCAGCAATAGTTGAGATTATTATTTTCAATTTTTCCTTTAAATTTTAACCTTAAAATTATAACCAGGGATTTTTGACCTCAAAGACTATTTTGCAATATATTTTGTATTGTGTTTTTCAAATATTACCGAATCCTTTTCCAGCTTTCCTCAACATACCTTCGAATCAAGTTGGGTAGATTCTACATTTCTATGGTATCCGTAAGGTACCATACCTTTGTCCACATGGACCAATGAGAATGTAGTAGTTGAATTATTTAAATCTAAATGAAAAATGATAAAGTGATGTGGTCCAATCAAATGAATGATAGGTACAATACCCCATATTTTAGAAAGGTACCGGAGTTGTCACCTTCAAATTGAAAATTTGTATGGAATGAAAACGAAATTTCAAAAAATTACGTTAGCGCCAATGAGCGCGCGGTAGCTCAAAATCAGTCAATGATCCGCGTACTACAGCACGCCTCCAATAGAGAATCACCACGTGTCCCTCACACCCACACCATCCATAAAGTGGTATTTTCAAGCCGTCGATTTAAAAGTAAATCCAATCATTTATCGACGCCCCGTATGAGTCCACCTCATCGATCCGCGTCATTTCAATTCCTCGAATGAGCACCCATAATTGGACATCTATAAAAGGGAAAGCACGCGTATCAAAATTTTCATCGCAATTCATCACTTTAGCATTTTAAACACTTTCCCTTCTCCAAACCTAAACTCTTACTAGAAATTCCAATGGCGCCCAAGGCCGACAAAAAGCCAGCGGAGAAGAAGGTCGCCGCCGATAAACCAGCGGAGGAGAAGAAGGCCGCCGTCGCTGAGAAGACTCAGGCGGAGAAGAAGCCGAAGGCGGGAAAGAAGCTTCCCAAGGAGGGCGCCGCTGCTGCCGGCGATAAGAAGAAGAAGAGGAACAAAAAGAGCGTCGAGACCTACAAGATCTACATCTTTAAGGTTCTGAAGCAAGTTCATCCAGACATCGGAATCTCCAGCAAGGCGATGGGGATCATGAACAGTTTCATCAACGACATCTTTGAGAAGCTCGCTCAGGAGTCATCCAGACTTGCTCGTTACAATAAGAAGCCGACGATCACCTCCAGGGAGATCCAGACGGCTGTGAGGCTTGTTCTTCCCGGTGAATTGGCCAAGCACGCCGTGTCTGAGGGAACTAAGGCCGTGACTAAGTTCACGAGCTCTTAAATTTCTTGTGTTGTGATCTAGATTTCACCTGTTTCTCTTGTGATTTGAGATTGAAATTGTGCTAATAGGTCTGATAGAACTATTTGCTTTGGTATCATGTAACTATACTGTTTCTTAGATCTATGAATCGAAGTAGTTTGTCTTCTCAACTCTGTTTGGTATCTGAATTGACGCTCTTCCGATTTACTACTCTGAAAAAACATCGTCTTTGTATACCAAAAACGCATATATACAGTTAATAGCAACGAAAATCAGTAATCCGGAACTGAACTATCCTTAAACGCTGGTATAATCTTTCTGGTAAACCGTAAACCGTATGATACATTGAAATGGAATGTCAAATGTGTAAGTGTGAAATGCCCATAATTTAGAGAGTGGAGACAGAGATGAATTATAGGACCTAATGTAGAAATTGCTGTTTGAAAGAAGGCGCCCAGAAGGATAAGAGTAAAATGAGATCACAGCTATTAGATTTACATATACTCCTAAGTGTTTAAAATGTTTTTAGGATTTTGAAATTTCTGCATTTGATTAGGGGTGTCCCTGACCTGGATTTTGAAGGATTTTTTTAAATTCAAGATACCTAGCTGAGTCCAAACCTTTTCTTGCTCACCTGAGCTCTGACTTCTTCATCCTCTACAACCAGCATGCTTGTACTTCCCCAACCGGCTGAACGATGGAGGTCAGAATTCGAGCTTTGGCTGCTCTAACCCTACCACCACCGCAACAGCAGAGTCACTGGTCTGTTTTCCAGCCAAGTCTGCTCTTAAAGATGTCAAAAAGAGATGACGGATGAGCTTTGGATAGTAAGATCCAGTCTTAGTATTGAAATACTCCCTCCGTCCCTAATAACTTTGCCAAGTTTGACCGACACGGAAATTAATAAAGTAAAAACTGTGTGGTTGAGGTTTGTGCAGAGGAGAGAGAATTAACTGGAACCACAAATTCTTTACTTAAATGAGAAAGTGGCAAAGTTATTGGGACATCCAAAAATGGAAAGTTGGCAAAGTTATAAGGGACGGAGGGAGTATGGAATTTTAATGTGCACATCCGTTGCAAAAAGCAAAAAAGAAACCAACCATTGGCCTTCATTGGAATCTGATAAAATTCCATATAATTTGATAGATTCTTTGTAAATCTTTTAAATTTCATGGGAGTGGGGATGTTTTTTCGTGAATTTTTTTGGTCTGGTTTGATCTGAATTGTTCTGATCTAGTCTGATTTGATCTGACCTGATCTGGTTCGATTTGATCTGGTGTGGGATTGAAATCAATCCAAGTAAAAACATCATTATATCCTAAAAAATCCTTCAAAAACTAGGTTGGGGAATAGGGACAATCTTTACAAATTGATACTGTATTTTTGGTTGTTAAACTTTAAATCTAGACATGTTATTTTCTTACTACAATACTACAGATGATGGGATTATTACTCCTAAAGTATCAATTCCCATTTGTTTGTTTATTTGCGTGGTTTGACATATTTGACAAGTTAAACAAAATAAATTCAAATTAACACGAGCCTTTAGAGCAAATTGATTTCTTCCAACTTGTTTTGAATTGAACTTTACAGAAGTACAGAACATACAAAAAACATGAAAATATGGATGAAATTTTGGAACATATATTTAATCATTGGCCAAAATATATGATGAGTTTATGCGGTAATTGAGAAGCAGTTACACATTCCCTCTTCTTTTGTTCCCCCAACTCCCCTCACCCATCTCATTCTATAACTACCCAAGAGCATAATAATAGCTCCACACAACATACGAACTAGATACATTCATTCAAACCAATGTCTCTAACATTGCTTCATCCCACTGTCATGAGGCTATTCTCCACGACATGGCCGCTATTGCTATATGCCACTGTCTGGTCCCTTCTCCTCCTCATCACCGTCGGAACCGCTTCTTCTCTGGCTCAGCTTGCTTACATGTCAGTCGTCTCTCCTTCCCCTTCATCTCCTTGCGGAGCGGGATTCCTCAAGGTGCCTCTGGATGTCCCGTCGGAGAAGTTTTGCTTGCCGATTCACATGATGAAGACATCCGATTGGGATTTCGTCGTGCCGATCGTCTTTGCTGGTCTTCTTGTGTCCACTTCTGCATTCATGATCCGCAGCTTAGGTTTCTGGGAAATCGAAAGTGATGGTTAACTGAATAATTGGTCCTAAGATGTTCTGCCATTTTTCCCGCTTCCTCTACAGATTTATTTTCCTTGGATTATCTTGAAAAACGGTTACAACATAGTTATTGGAACATTGGTGCATTACTCTGAATGAATTTGACCAAGAAAGAACATAAGAACAGTATGTATGAAGTGAAGCAAGCAAGTTTTAACGGTTACAAGTTACAACACTCGAAAAACACACTCATTTTTTCTTATGATGTTCTGCACGCATATTCACACTACTTTGTAATCCGTATATTTAAACGTTAGGTTGAATTTTAATACGGAGCTCGATATTTTACAATTCTTAAGTTGGAATTATTGCAACCTTTTATTCGTTCTACCTGTTGTTCCAAAAGGTTGAATCCCCAATGGGAGGATGTAAATCATGGTGACTCAGTCAGCAAAGTTGCAGTAGACTCATACACCCGTGCGCACCAGAGGCTTAGCCTTATTTCAGGTTATATGACCTCCATCCGGTCGCTGTGGGGATTCAAACATTGGTCATTGTTCCAAATCTCCCACCACTCGACCAACTGAGCTACCGATTTTATTCGTTCTACCTAAATTCTATGATTTGCCTCCTCTATCTCGACCATTATGTTCATTTTGTGGAGTTTTATATAAATTATATGTGGTACTTGACTCATAGTTGGATACTCTTGAGTATGCTTCATACATATTATGTTTTGCCTTAAATTTTGACGAATGCATCAATGTATGTGATTGATAGTTTGATACAAATGGCTAAGTTAATTGTTACTACGTAAGACTTAAGAGTAAATTCACGTTAAAAATATAAAAGATCATGTAGACTCTGCACCCTTATAGTTTTGTTGAGTTATAAAGTAAATGAGTCACGATTCTCTCCTTGGTTTACCGCCAAGTAGGGTGTCCAATTACAGCCGCAGGATCTAAGCTTCCCCTCCCCAAATTCTCCTCCCTTATTGTTGTTGCCCGTTGGATTGCGCAAGGCACCTCTGCCGTGCGGCAGAGGATCCAAATCCACAATAAATACTACGGAGTATGTATTTCTTTGATATTAATTCTTGCAAAAATGACGGAGTTGTGAGATTTTATTATGAGAATTTTAATTTTTGGTGATTGATCTAGCAACTTCCTAACATAGAATAACATTTTACTATATCGATCTTGGTAAGTACATATTTGAGAAATTAAGATGGATGACACGTACATACGTAAAATAATTTAAAAATTAAAATAAAACATTGGTGATATTCAAACTGAACAAAGATTTCCCATTAATTTCATTGAAGAACTTGCACTAATGGTAGTGTATTTTTGAAGCGATAGAGTAGAATACTAGAATATACCAGTTGGGTAATGAAAGTTGCAATTTTTTATTATTATTATTATTATTATTATTATTATTATTATTATTATTATTATTATTATTATTATTATTATTATTATTATTATTATTATTATTATTATTATTATTATTATTATTATTATTATTATTATTATTATTATTATTATTATTATTATTATTATTATTATTATTATTATTATTATTATTATTATTATTATTATTATTATTATTATTATTATTATTATTATTATTATTATTATTATTATTATTATTATTATTATTATTATTATTATTATTATTATTATTATTATTATTATTATTATTATTATTATTATTATTATTATTATTATTATTATTATTATTATTATTATTATTATTATTATTATTATTATTATTATTATTATTATTATTATTATTATTATTATTATTATTATTATTATTATTATTATTATTATTATTATTATTATTATTATTATTATTATTATTATTATTATTATTATTATTATTATTATTATTATTATTATTATTATTATTATTATTATTATTATTATTATTATTATTATTATTATTATTATTATTATTATTATTATTATTATTATTATTATTATTATTATTATTATTATTATTATTATTATTATTATTATTATTATTATTATTATTATTATTATTATTATTATTATTATTATTATTATTATTATTATTATTATTATTATTATTATTATTATTATTATTATTATTATTATTATTATTATTATTATTATTATTATTATTATTATTATTATTATTATTATTATTATTATTATTATTATTATTATTATTATTATTATTATTATTATTATTATTATTATTATTATTATTATTATTATTATTATTATTATTATTATTATTATTATTATTATTATTATTATTATTATTATTATTATTATTATTATTATTATTATTATTATTATTATTATTATTATTATTATTATTATTATTATTATTATTATTATTATTATTATTATTATTATTATTATTATTATTATTATTATTATTATTATTATTATTATTATTATTATTATTATTATTATTATTATTATTATTATTATTATTATTATTATTATTATTATTATTATTATTATTATTATTATTATTATTATTATTATTATTATTATTATTATTATTATTATTATTATTATTATTATTATTATTATTATTATTATTATTATTATTATTATTATTATTATTATTATTATTATTATTATTATTATTATTATTATTATTATTATTATTATTATTATTATTATTATTATTATTATTATTATTATTATCATTATTATCATTATTATTATTATTATTATTATTATTATTATTATTATCATTATTATCATTATTATTATTATCATCATGATTATTATATTACAAAATGGTGTGTTCAATTGGGACGATTTGCTAACAAACCCACTTAATGTGTTGTTAATTCTCACATTTTTGTGTACATCTTTTGTACACTTGTCTGTCTAACGCATACAAAATTGTCTGTCCAAAAACATCTATATAGAATTGTCTATGAACAAACAACTCTGTCCGCGTGAGACAGGCGAATGTACAAAAAGTGTACACAAAAATGTGTACACCAAACATTTTTCTTTAAACTCACACGTTTTTAGATTAACACTTACTCCGCCCTCTTTTAGTTATACCAATGCACTTTTCGCGTTTGACAAAACACAAGTTTGACCATTAATATCTGTCACTTCTTATTATTAAAAAAATATAAAA